TTCACAGTAGCTTGTTGGCTTGTTTTGTTATTCACTTTAGATGCAGAGTTTGAAAGGCAGCCAGTAGTTTCACTCTTATTCCAAACTTTTGTTTACATACCGAGTTCCGCAAGTTCCAAGGATTTGTTTTTCCATTGCTCCTAACCCCATATCTGGCCAACTGTCCTTCAGGCCAAGGACATAGATTCTGAAGGGGGCAGTCAAGAATGCCTCTTGCTCTGCCAAACCAAATATTGCAGAGAGCAATGCAAGCGCCTGAGATCTCTCCCTCCCACACCTCTTTTGCCTGGGAATGAGAGCTCAAGATCACAACCTGGACTTGGTTCCTCTGCATTCTGCTCTATTGGTAAGGTGCTGGGTCAGACCTTATTCACACCTCCTAATGAACTGAATACTTGTTCTTTGTTCTGTGTTAGGGTGGGTAGCTTTAAAACACATACACAGAGGGACCCAGTCCAGCAGCAGGTAGCTGGTTCTGTAGATGGCAGACAGACGTGCTCTTGAGAAATTTCACCTAGCTGAGATGGGGCCAAAAAAACCCCCAGCTCTGTATATAACTGTGGGGAGGAGAGCAACATCTGCTATGCTCTACAACTCCCTTCTCTGATCCATGCCATTTCCACCTTGTTCCATCCCTGATGGACCAGTACTGTCTCTGGGCGTTCCTACTGCTCTACGGCCTTAAGACATAGCTTGGAGCCTGTCCCCCTCCAGCAAAAATACTACACTGGAGCCAGAGTGTTGCTTTAAATTACCTGGCTGATAGACTGCTGGTCAGCTAAGGGGAAGCACCAGCCCGACCTCACTACTGCATTGCCCCAAAGTCATTCCTTTGAACCCAAATGCCATCTGATAATCTGCCTGGGCAGCCAGTCTGACTCAGCCCCTCATTGGAGGGTTCTCTGCGCCTGCCATAGAATGCTAGACTAGGGGGTCACCCCACCCCAATAAAGAACCTCCTCAGATTGCAGAGCTTAGAGAGTCCATGATGGGACTGCAAAGGTGTTCCACATAACCAGCCTTAAAAGCAATCTGTCACTTATAATTGTCTATCTAAATTTATCAAAGATAAGTGGGGGGCAGGGGGGAATTGACATTAATGGAAACACAGATAAGGGAGAAAGACCAAAGTGAAGGATTACCCTGGACTTGACTCTCCATGCAGAAATGATGGCTGAAAAGGAAAATGGGGCTCCTTTGTATTTTTAGTTTCTTGGGGCTATGGATAATTAACTACTGCAGCAAATGGTGTGGCTTTTATCTGATCCAGGAGGCTGCAGGGTGACTGGGATAGAAAATGAGGGCTGGATTAACATATAAAGGGAGGCAGCTGAGAGGGAAGGGTTCCTGTTGACTGTAGGGAAATCCAATCAAGTTATTTTCTTCCTTCATGTCTTTGATGTTGAGAGGCAAATGTTTAAAACACTTGTTTGCTCTAGAGCAGTTTGCACTATGACTGAGAACCAAGTAGGTAAACAACATGCAGAGCTTCCTCCTACTACACCTTCATGCTGTCACATGGATTAGACTGGTCACCCGAGAATGTCTTGTCTAGCTCAGCACTGACTTGGTTACCATAGCTTTCATTGCTGGAAACAGGAGCAAAATCCAGGCTGTGAAAGCAGTCCTGCATTTCCTGTTGAAGAATGAAGATGAAGGGGGTTAAAGGCCTACTCACTGAAAACTAAACTAATGATGTATGGCATATTACTGTGTGTAGGAATGTGGGCATTATAAATATACACAGACACAGAGCCAAAGACTGTTTGTCTAAACAGTCCCACTGATTTCAGTGTGACTACAAATGAGATTAAGGGAGCAGGATTTGTTTCTTGCTGTGTCCCTGTGTGTCTTCTATCAGTGTATTTGTGTATATCAAACACCACTGTCATTAACCACTTAATCTAAAGGTTCTATTTGTAACAAAAATAGAATCTTGGGGTAAGAAAGTGACCTAATGACTGTAGCGCTGCCTACATATAGATCTGTATGATAAGAACAGGTATAGTTTAAGGTGCTGATCACTTTCAGTTCCAGCTGAAGTCAGCTCGGCTGCAGGCACTCAGCACCTCTGCAAATCAGGGCCAAGATATCTATGTGGTATACGCGCGTATGTGTATATAATGAAATCACCGCACCAGCAGTTTGACATGTGGGTGCATCACGCAATTAAAAATGACAAAAGCGCTGCTGGTGGTTGGCACCGAGCCCGATTAATCCTCCGTGCTGACTAATTTCCCTTTCCCACACCCCCAGCTTACTGCCCAAATAATGGTAGTATAGATGAGCCTTGCAGCTTGGTTTGAAAGTCACAAAACATGGTTCCTGCAGGATGGCAAAAGGAAATCCAACGCCAGGGACCCTTCACCAAGAATTTGCTGGCAGGATTTCAGCCCTACTTGGGACTAATAGCGAACGGTAACCATCTAGACTATTTTCAGAGTGGTAGCTGTGTTAGTCTGTATCAGCAAAAAGAACGAGGAGGCCTTGTGGCACTATGTGGTGGTACGGAATACAGTCGGGAGGAGGGACGACACTCTGCCTCAATTATGCACCTCTTCCCAAGCCCATGGCCATGAAAAATTGATACCATCGCCTGCTGTGGGCCTGATCTTGCCTGCCCAAACCTTCCATGGCAGGCAATGGGAATTTTTACTGGGCAAGGAATGGACGATCAGGTTCATGATCCTGCTACATTTTTCTTATTTTGTTGGGGCATTACTCTCTTGCCATTTGAAATATTCTGGTTCTGTGGTTCTCAAAGCATGGTGCATGGACCCCCACCTTGTGCGTGGTGGGATCCATGGGAAGTTGACTGGGCTCATGGGGATGACTCCCCCTTGTTTCCAGCAATTAAATTGCAGTAAAAGGTGCTAAAATACAGGGAGTACTTTCCTAATAATTTTTACATTCTAAGCAGTTGCTGTAGCTGTTACAGGGATGTGATGTGATTGCAAACGGTGGGGGAGCTGCTCTGTGCAAATGGGAATGGGAGCGGGGGTCGTTCATGAGACATTCTCGGTATTAAGATCTGGCTGGCCACTATGGCTGCAATCCCATCGTTCAAATTCTTCTTGTATTTGCCTACGTGAATTCAAAGCATCAGTCGTAGTTTTGCTAAATAAGGAAATCTGATCAAAGCCCCTGGCATGGGGAGACCACACATTGTTGTGTCTCAGAACTGAGTTTCCCTCACATTGGCGCATGGCTGGGAGAAGTCAAAGGTTGGCTCCTGATTGGAGAAGCCAATTAGTTGCTGTGTTTGTACGCTCTGCACATAGTGCAATGGGCGTTGTGCTGGTGTTGTGTACTTTCGTTGATGACCAGTTCAATGTGGGTAGTGCTTTTCCCATCAGTCTAGATCGCAAGGTGACTTGCAATATAACCCAGCCAAGCTCTTCACCAGATTTTAAAGTCTATAAACAGGAGCAATCTTTTTTTCATCCCAAAAGATCTCTGTGATTTACCCAATTAGTGTGCTGAAGTCTGCCTTAATTTAGCCCTAGTAACTTTGAGTCTTTTGCAGAGGGTGTTAATCAAGGCAAATTAGTCCAGTATGTCAGTGTATGCCTGACCACGGAAATGCAGTCATTTAAAGGTGGAAAATATCCATCTGAAATGTAAGCATAAAATTCTTTCCCCCATATATGATTGGCTTCACACAGTGATTGGTTTTCCTTTTGATATAAGAATGGTCTAAGGGTTTCTCACCAGTAAGGAAAGGATTGCTGAATAATTTTAACTCAGACCCTGACACGGACACTAATATAAACTAGCAAAGGGAGCTGGACTGGAAATGGAAGATGGATCCAGCTCAGGTTGATAGTGATTGAAAATCACGGCCTGGTGGCTTCTTGGTGGCCCATGTGAAATGAGTTTGGTGGGTCTTAGTCCAGATCCCAATGGGCCGATCTTCATGTTACAAAAAATGTTACTATAATGAACAACCTTATTGGCAGTCTCAACAGAGAGGCAAAGGGCAGAATAAACCTGAAGACGGAACTAACTTCTTAGCCCTAGCAGTGTTCTCTCTTGTTTAGACTGGAAACTGTGAGCTATTGCTGCTTGTGCTGTACGTGTTCCATGTAGAGAGGATTTCACTCCAGGGCTGTCAACCCAGGGCCTTTCACAAGAACTAGATCCTCTAAAACATTTACAATAGAGCCAGGTGTGAAACAGTTTTCCCATCCCATGAAAACTTCCAACCATTTCAGAAATTCTCCCGTTCTTCATCAGATGAACTAGAAACCTTTTGTGGAAAACAAGAGAGAGAACAAGACACCCTGAATAACCCGGGCTCTCAAATCCCTGTTCTGTCTGCCTGCCTCTGGACTTAAGCCTGGCTCTCCCACATCATAGGGAGGGCCTGAACCATATAACTGTTCTGGGGTGTGCACACTCTTTGACCCAAAATTCCACCCCTGGACATGAGAAACCTTCCCCTGATGTGTTCCTGTGAAAAGTTTTGGTTTCAACGGATTGACGTTTTTTGATGAAAAACAGTTTAATTCATAGAATATCAGGGTTGGAAGGGACCTCAGGAGGTCATCTAGTCCAACCTGCTGCTCAAGGGAGGACTAATCCCCAGACAGATTTTTACTTGAACTCACAACCCTGGGTTTAGCAGGCCAATGCTCAAACCACTGTGCTATCCCTCCCCCTATTTGAAGAATCCCTGAGTATCTCTACAGAACAAAACAGCAAACTTCCTCCTTGGTCCAGATTTTCATCTCTGCCGTTAGACAGAAAGTGGCTTCTTGTGGCTCACTCTCTCCAAACCTTTACGTCAGATTCAAGGGAGATAAGGCGAGGTTTAAGAAATTGCACGGTCAAGGCAGTCTGAAAGCCGGAAGAATGGGGATGCTTTCAGCATCCTAGCGTCTCTTGGACCCACAGGTGTTAAACTGTACTTCTAGGTGTTGTTTTTAAGACTAGCCAGCTGTTAAATGACTACAGCTAGGCATGACGTAAGTAAGTACCTTGTATGCTTCCCCACGCAGCTCTCTACTGAACCTGGGTCCTCCTGCCCGTGCAGCACCCGTGACTGGTGGTCTAGTGCTGAGATTCTAAGGGCCTGTGTATGTACAAATACAACAGACTGAAGGGAACACAGTTACCGCCTGGCACAGGTAAGTCGTGGGTCTGCCCTCAGCTCTTTCACGTAGGGTGTCTTCCCTCTGTACAGCAGCAGCCCCGCTGGAGGACTGGGCTGTAGGGCGGGATTGGGGGCGGTACAGCTGCGCCGGAGGAGCTGCCAGCATGGGGCCGCCCAGCGGCCCTACATTCTGCTTCTCCTGTCCTGTGTCTTTCCGGTACACTGTACCAGCTATAAATATCTTGCTGGTACGGCATACCGGCCTGGACCACCCTACTTGCACTGCTGCTAACACGTGTCAGTTTTGATATAAAGACGAGAAAGCCCAGCTGTCTGATAGAAAAAAGCGAGTACGTTAAACAGCTGCAGAGGATTAGGTTTAGATTAGGGCACTGGCCTGGGAGTCAGGGGCGGGGGAGATCCCAGCTCAGCCATTGGACATGCTGGGTAACCTTCGGCAAGGCACTTCCATTTTCTGGGGCTCAGTTTCCCCATCTGAAAAATGGGGACATATGGTCCCAGCCTTTCTTTGTAAAGAACTTTGAGATCTCTGGCTGCAATGTAAAAGCCAATTAGTGCAACACTCTTTATTTCACGTCTATCACATGCTCAGTTATTTGAATGGTGTGATTTTTGTCTTAAAAATACAGCATTCGCTTGTGATTGGAACTCTGGGGTGGCAATAGCCCTTGTCCACTGTTATACAGCTAGAGCTGTTAAAAAGAACGACTTTCCCCTGAGAACGCAGGTCCAAGGATATGCTGCTTAGGGCTTGTCTGCACAGTGTGTTAGTGAACATTAGAAGTGTGAAATTCCATTGTGCACTAGCACGTTATACAAGTAGTGCACATGGACCTTATTGGCATGCACTAAAAGTTCCCTAGTGCATACTAATGTAGTCCCATTTCAAACAGTACTATATTACCTCACAGTAGGGAACTTTTAGTGCACTCAGCAGTGTCCATATGGGCCAGTTCGTACGCAACACACTAGTGCACACTAGAATGTACATTGCTCTGGTGGGGACAAGCCCTGTCTTGTTCTTGTCTGGTTCACAATGGTCAAAAGACCATTTGTTAGTGTTTTAAACACCGTTTATTCCCAATTCAAACAGAGCTAGTTTACAGCATGGCTTGGCGGACATATGTGGATATGACCAAGCCATGTTGCATCAGTGTTTTAAAATCATGTTAATAGACACCTAGGGTATAATTTTGTCCTCTTATTCCTGTATTAAGCCCAATACCTTGTACAGATGCCTTGTTATGTATGGATTCCGGTAAAACAGTTTTGCAATTAATCATCACGGAGTTAGAAGATTACTGTAACTGGAAACAAACCCAGCATCCTTCTGCTTTACTTGAACTCTGCTATACCCTGCGTGGAAGAGAAGAAACAAAGCTGAGGGCATGTCTACACTATGGGCTCTGCTCCAGCACAGCAACAACACTGCAGCTATGCCGTTGTAATAGCGTAATGTAGATACTTCCTACAACGAAGGAAGGGGCTTTTCCATCACCTCCCGAAGCAGTGGAAGCTAGGTCGAAGGAAGAATTCTTTTGTCGACCGAGATGCATCTACAGCAGGAGTTAGGTTGGTTTAACTCTGGCACTCAGGGGTGTGAATTTTTCACACCCTAAGCACTGTAGCTATGGTGATGCTTAACCTGAGAAACAGGAGACCGCCCGTATGCAGATGTCGCTGTGGCTGCTTCTTTGCATGCTGCTGGAGCCATTCCATTGAACAGCAAGCAAATATCAACACCTAATCTCTGTTTGCTAATGGGCTTTGTTTCCCATTGAACTGTGCTCAGGTAAAGAATTAACAGGATAGAATTATGTGCCACTGCAATAAAATGCATCTCATAATCCCATGTGTCTGATTCAAATCTCATGATAACCACTTTCATCGTGCCCAAATAAATGCTGAATGGATGCACACGCTGCCCATCCATCAGTGAGTGAGTGAATGAATTATTTGCAGTAAGGTACTTGCCTTTAGTAAACTAGTGTCCACTAGAATAAGGATTTATTTCTGGATGTGCATCCACTTCTTTCTGCGTTGGGCTCAGCATGTCAGACTGCATCCTGCCTCCCTTGATAGGTCTCCACATGGCATTCAGCGTGACAGGGCTCAGTGTACTGTAGCACAGCTTCTCATAGTGTGTCCAAACTGATTTGATATATACTGACAGCTAAAGCACAAGGCAATGAGCATGTATTCTAAACATGCTATCGGTAGTCACTGGACTGGATAACTGTCTTCTATTCAGGCAGTGAATTGCTAGCCCAAGACTCAGGCAAAGAACGGAAGCTGAATAAATGGATAAAGTTGCCTGTTGTGGAAAAATTATGACTGATGCATTCCGGTCTAATTGAAGCCGTTCTGGAGGTCTTTGTGCTCATGCCTTGATATAGTGCATTGTAGTATGGTTGCTAATGCATGGATCAGCCTGATAGGATGAGGCAGTTTTCTAGCCAGTCATAGTTGGAAGAAGGTATTTTTCACAGCTGTAGCTATTTTGAGACTCTATCGAAGATACTTACATGGTCTCCATCACAGTAATAACTTAGCGCCTCACAATCTTTAATGGAAGAGATGATGGTAGTAGCTAACCATTTTCCCGCTTCCCACTCACCTCTGCTTTTGCTCTGGTTTAGCTCCAGCCAGGTGCTGATGTCTGGAGGTGGAAGAACAAATTGCCCATCAGCACTCTCTAGGGCCATCCATCCATCCATCCATCCATCCATCCACTGGCACCAGTTCAGTGCTTTTCATTGATCCAGTAACACGTCTGAGAGAGGATAGCACCATGCTCTGATCAGTACTGTTGAATGCTGCAGACAGGTCCATGTGTACAGTTATGGGCATCCTTCTCTGCCTCTATAGGGCACTTCTTTGCATAGGTGTTTGCCCACTTTCTTCATTACCTTGCTCAGGAATTGGGAGGCTGGATACCAGGTGTTAGTTTATGAAGTCTGATGGGCCTGGAGATTTCTTGAGACGAGGCTTGAGAGCAGATATAGTAGATTTCCAGTTTCAAAAGCGGGAAGCCACAGATCGCTTTTAAAGATGTCTGACTTCACCTTCACTGTTGTTTAGTATGGGGTCCATTTGAAAAGCATGATGGTTTTCATTTAAATGTCAAATCAATATAAAATGTGTCTCTCTCTAGCTCACTTTGTTTGTTTGGCACGGCCAGAGTTGTGATAGTGCTGATTAAAGGGAACCAAGAGGGCCAGAGCAGAGGTCGATAGACCTCCCATTTCACCCTGTCCCAATGCACTTCCATCCTGATGGAGCCAGAAAGACACATTTTCAGCGAATATACTCCTTTAAAACAGCCTGATTGCACTGAACTCCGTAGGGCACCAGCATGCGGGAGTAGGGTCTACTTGCCTCAGGCCTCTTCTTGATTTTCCTACCCTTTTCAGAGGGTAAAGTTGGTTTCTTTGTCTGACCCTGTATCATGTGACTGGGCTTTCTGTTGGGAAGTACCATGCTGTATTGTTAAGAACCAATCCTGCCAGGTGCGTGCTGAGCACTTTCCTAGTATCAGAGCTCGGGCACTGTCTAGGATTAGGGTAAAAAGTGTATTCTTAAAACACAGCAGCTAATATGTTTTAACTACCATGGTTTAACACTTCAGTGTAGACAGAGTAAATTGCATTTTAACATGTGAACTGGTCAAGGTGAACCCTAGTGGGGAGCTTAGGCTACCAGATAACCAACTAACATGTTAAAATACATCTTGCTCTCTCTGCCCTTTTAAATGCACCTATTGTCCTCGATTAGACAAGCCCTAGGTGTTAGCAATGTTGAGAAAGCGAGTGCAGATGGGCTGCAGGCTGCCGAGACCACTTTAAGCACCAAGTGTCTGCAGAACTCTCTAGCTCTTGCTTGGGAACCCCAACTGTTTGCTTAAAGAAGCATTTGCCCTGGGGGATAATAATAGGCTGATTTGTCTAGGTAGGATATAAGCTAAGTGAGTCTGCTTTATCATCAGACAGATGTAGCACTTCCTCAGTCTCTTCCCTTTGCATAATCCATTAGGATAACCTAATGTCAATCAGAGTGAAATCTTGGACTGGAGTTTCTTACCTATCCCAAAGATATTGTCGCTATGCCCTGAGCAAAACCTGGTGTATAATCTGTTATGGCCAAGGCTTTAATTCTCACAGTATTTCCTGGAGTCCCCCATTTATCCCCACACCCCCATTCAGGGCTCAGGGTTTCAGCCCCACCGGGCATGCCAGGTCTCCGTGCTGGAAAGCTCTGGTTGAATGTAAGGCCTGGTTATGGGGGAAGATTTAGCTCACCTGGCTCCAGCTGTGGGTGACTACAGAACCATGTTTACCAGACCTGTTTTTAACCACTTCAGATTTACTCTGCCTAAATACAGTTTGCCAATCGGTAAGGATTGAAGCAAATACTGAACCCAAATTTGGGAACTGCTCTGGGACAATGTCAGTTTCTTTAGATCCTAAAATATACAGGTATTTCCTATGCAGTATCCCTGCAAGATGTGTGTTTCTCTCCTCTTCATATATAGAATCAGTAAATGCGGGGGGGAAATGCAAATACAAAAGCTTTGTGCCTAGCTTATGACAAGGAGGAGTGGTCAATAAATCATGTAACATTTATGATTATTCTGCATGTCTAGCCATAATTCTATGGGTCACTGTCCATTGTCAGTGTGTTTTTTGCATTGGATCCTTTCATCCCCTTTGTCCACTAAAAGAAGGAAATGGAAAGAGGGAAATGACAGAAAACTCCATTTGCTGTACACTACTCACTGCCTTCAAAGGAAACTTGTTTTCAGATGAGTTACGCTAAGTAAAGTTGTTTCATGGTGAGAAATCTGTGATCTACTGGTAATGCTCGGTGGCTACCAGTGCACCACCCTAGCAGCTATAATTATGTATTTGTGTTACGATAGCATCTAGAAGCCCCAGACAGGCGAGAGCGATATTGTGTAGGTATTGTAAACATATAGAGGAGACAATCCCTTGTCCAAACATTTACAAGCTAAGTGCAATACTAAACACAGCAAGGGGAAGGGAGAATGGGCTAGAACAGTATTACAGGTATATTTTTGATAGGCAGGCTTTGTGCAGTGTGTAGGTAGCCAGTTTGATTTTGTTAATAAATAAAATAAATGTGAAAATCAGCTCACAACAACTGTGATTTGTGGACACAAGCTGTGTGGGGTTGTGCAATGCCAAAGTTCTCGCGCATAGACCTTCCTCAGCTGATGTTTTCAAAAGCCAAAGCCACTTTTTGACATCTACAGTTCTAGGGTGACCAGACAGCAAATGTGAAAAATCGGGACGGGGGTGGGGGGTAATAGGACCCTATATAAGAAAATGACCCAAAAATCGGGACTGTCCCTATAAAATCAGGACATCTGGTCACCCTAACAGTTTCTGAGGTTCCAGTTGGCGTGTCCAGATCAGTTCAAAAGGACATTTTTTTTTCTTGCCAGTGGATGTACTGTAAGGATTTCAGAAACTTCAGTGTGTGTGGGGGGGACATCAGTTGGTTGTTTAGTAATCCACACACAGCATTGCTGAAGACCCAAGTGGTGAAGAAGTGGTGTGTGTGTGGCGGGGGGCAGACTTTGTGTGATCTTCTTCAAAAGAAGGTAAGGCTGTTCTGAAAGGAGGCTGTTAGGTTGAGCCTATCAAGGTTGCTGCTCCTTTAAAATATTCCTGGTACTGGTCTCTGTTAGGGCTGTGGTTCTTATGGTGGCTTCTGCGAGAATCCCGTGGGCTGCAGGAAAGGAAATAGGCACATTTGTGACACACACTTCTGAGTGAGTAGCGCCTTGGGAATGGTGGACTACAGAGTATCTCTTCACCCCCACATCCCAGACTGTGTTTCTAGCTCCCACCCTGCATCCGGCTCTAAGGCAGGGTCAGATAGAGCATATCATTTGGAAATGCCTGTGGTGCAAAGAGCATACAAATGCCCTTGTGTGAAGTGCAAACTGAACATCTGAAATCAGCTGTGATTTACAAGCTATGAAACATGTTAGCTACAATACCAACTTGCTGTGCTTGGAGGATGATATATTCAAGTGAGGCAGTGTTAGAGAAGAGGGACTAATGGGGGAAATCTTTAATAAACATTTTGGCAAATGCTGAATCGTTTCCTGGTTAAGCTGTGTTCCCACTGCTTTTTTGGTTCCCTTTTCCTTGTGAATAGATTTTTGTTCATACAAATGTTGGGAGAATGGCCATTCATTGCACGAATATTATTGGTATTAGTGTAGCATTTAGAAGTCCCAGTCCTGTGCCAGGATCCCATTGTGCTAGATGCTGTACAAACACGGAACAAAAAGATAGTCCCTGCCCCAAAGAGATTATGATCAAAGTATAAGACAAGAGACAGCAGATGGAGATGGACAGACCCTGAGAGGTGTGTGTGTGTGTGTGTGTGTGTGTGCGTGCACGCGCAAAGGAAACGAGACAATACTTGTCAGCATGACAGGCAGTGGTCTTAGTAGCCCAACAGCCTAGTGCCCATATTCTCAGGCCACTGACGGGACTGGTGCATTGACACCAGCACTTGCTATTTGTGCCAGAAGCTTTCGTCCCCAGACACGCTTATAAACCTTCAGACATCCAATCGGGGAGCAGAAACGATACCATGTGATTTCCCTCCCCGCTCACAAACGATGAATAATAGTGACAGTAGATGCCCATAATTTGCGAACAATCCCTAGGCTGAAATATTTGTATAAAATATGTTTCTGGTTCTACAGGACCTCAAGGCCTGTGATGAAAGCAGTTTAGAATGAGAAGGAGGAGCAAGTCTAGCTGCCTTCTCTAGACACTGCTGCTATATAAGATGCCAGATTTATAGGAATTTCATGTGTTTGCAGATAACGTGGAACCAGAAAGCAAAAGCTAAATTAATTGTTCATTATGAATATTTGCCCAGGGCTACACACTATTCCTTTTCTGTAGAACTTGTGGTTGCGCTTCAGCATTGTTACATAGGCTGGGGTATTTCCCAGATGGAATTTGAGAAACTCAAGCGGGTTTTTTTTATGACTGCAAATTTCTTAATAAATCTGGAAATTCCTGTTAAGTTTGGGACACCTTATTTCCCTTCCCCTCCCAAACCCTCAATTATAGGCAGAGAAGTTGCATACGACATACTTGAAGTTAGGGAAATAGAGAAGTGGGTTTTTAAGGGCTTGTCTACCGGAGAAGAGTTATACCAATACATGCTGCAGATAGTGTGAACTTAAACCAGTATAGTTATACCAGAATAACTTCCCTCTTATTCTGGTATAGGAGTGCCTATTTATTTATTTTTTTTAATTCACTTATGTTGCTTGGGAAAGGTGTGTAACCTAAACTGAAAAAAGTTAGTTTTATGCTGGAGTCAGAGTGTTCACATGGGGAGTTATTCTAGTATAACTATATTGATTTAACTACACCAGTATAACTGGTCAAACATTTCTGTATAGACAAGCCCTTAGTCGTGACCTCTATTCCCACAGTACATATGTGAACGAAACACATGCCTAAGAAGTTACCCTTCAAATTTTAAATTACCCTTCATCCTCTTTTAAATTGTAAGTTACTTTTATTATCTTTGCACATTCACATTCGTCTAAAGGATCTCTAAGTGCTTTACATAAACTCTGATTACCTCACCCATCAATGAAATGTAGCCACTTCTGGAGTGGAATGCAAAACTTCTTAGCACCACACAGCAGTTAGAGCACAAAGTGTAAAAATATAACTAGCTGAAACTGCACAGAGGGGATGACTTTTATTTTATAAAGATGTTCTAACAGGCTATATTATCAAAAAGATACAAAGTACAAGCCTCATCCTGCCCACTGGCTAATCCATAAAATAGCTTTCAGTGTTTTCCCTGGGAGCAATGGCTTTAAATTTTAATAAGCTGTAGTGTACTTTCACCGGATGTCATAAGCTGATACAAAGTTTACCTGGGGTTAAGTAGGTGGGAGCCTTGGAGAAATGAGGAAAGCTAAGGAATGTAAATTATTTTCTACTCTGTTATAAGTTTCTTTCCCTTCATGAGAAATGTGTGTTTGAGATTATTTGGAACGAAATGCTTTTACACTTGCATGATTATATTCTGTAGACAACAGCTTGGCACTGATGAAGCAATTGAGTCAGAAAGACCAAGGCACAGAGAAGCAGCTTTAGTGTCTGCTTAATTTCTGCTTAAAAGAAAGCACAACAACAACAACAAAAACCCCAATCCCCCACTAACTTGCACCATACTATCATTTCTCCAAGATCTAATTGCCTATGCAGTCAGTCAAACAGAACATGTAAAACTATAATAATGTCATCTGCCAACTCCCTATACTATAGAGAGGAAGCAAAGACTACTCACAGGGACTGTGGACAAATGTTCATGGAAGACTAAAAAGAGATGGCCAGGCTGTATGTCCAGGGAAGTATGAATAAAGCAGACCAGGCGGGTGAGTAAGGGAGACGGGGAGCTGGGGGAAGAGGAGGACTAAGCTACTGGGAAATACATCCAGGAGAAAAGGAAGAGATTGGGAACAAGTGGCAGAGAAACATGTGCTGTGGAGTAGGGGCAGAGAGAGGAAAAGAATAGATAGGATTTGAAAAGTCAATGAAAAAAACAGAAGGGCTTTATACCACAATGAAGACAGCTAAAATATACAAATACTTCTCCACCTACGCAATTGCTGTAGTTGCACCAGGGATGTTATGGGATCAGAAATAGGAAGACAGGTGAGATATGCACTCATGATTGGCAGGGGAGATGTTCAGAAGATACTCCATTAACATGAATGATGAGGGTTCATGCTCTGTGAAGTATGAGAGCCCCTGGCCCAGGAGTTAGTCTGACTGTTAAATATATTTGGAATGATTGATTATAAAATTTGTTCTCAATTTAAAGCCACTTTAAAGGTGGAAGTAATTACCAGCAGGTGTAATAGAGAGAAGAGCAGGTGGCCTGATTCTCCATTCCTACGGGTGTAAATCAGGAGTTACTCCACAGCTCTCAATGGAGTTATGTGAGTATAAGCAAGATGACAATCAGGCCTATGGTGCATAAAACCACTGGCTCATCAAACTAGACTCAGTGGAAGCTGCAGGTGCTCACCACCTCTGAAAAATCAAGCCCTATCTGTGTTATCAGAAACATTTTCAATCCTCAGATCTCAAAGCATTGTGAAAAGTGAGTGTTATCTCCATTAATGGGTGGGGAAACTGAGGCACAGAATGGTTATGACTTGCTCAAGGTCAACAAGCACGTCAATGGCAGAGCTGGGAATAGATTCCAAGGCTGGTACAGGTTTCAGAGTAGCAGCCATGTTAGTCTGGTACACTCATTCTACAATAAACCCCCAATTCCGTCAGCTCGTTGGGCCTAATTTTACAATTTGTGGGATCCAGTTTTGCATAATTCCTTTTACGGTAGCGGATTTGCTGGAATCTACATATGTGGCACTCAAAGATCAACTAACTCAGTTTATCAGAAATGCATTTGCAATTACTAGTCTTCAAATTAGCAACACCTTTCTGAAAAGAGGGTCAGATTCAACAATGAATCACACTGGTGGTGCCATTAAGCAAGGTGAGAGATTGTAATGGAATGCAGAGCATATATCTTTGATTGCATATAGCAATAAAAAAAATCAGATCTTGACAATGTTACTATATTCAGACTGAGATAGATTATAATGCAGGGATTATTAATTCATTATTTGCTGTTTTATTAGGATTATGAACACTGAGAATTAGAGTTGTCAAATCTCTGGGTCCTTAACTCTCCAATCTTGTTTTTGTTGTCTTCCAACCATCCCTCAATCCCAGGTATGTATTTACCTTCATTTCTAGACTTCAGTTTACCAGCATCACTGACACAAACCTGCTATCTCACTGCTTGCTGCTCTGTGTTTGACATCAGCAATTTTGAATTTAGAAAGGAAGATTATGGAAAACTTCATATGCCTTTAAAGAAATGTCAAGCTATCTGCTCGGTGGTTTTGTCCCTCATTTTGAGTCTCTCTCACATTTGAAATTTAGCTTCACGAACTGGGGCCAGCTTAAGGACTTTGCTTTGGGAAGGATGATTTTGCGGTTAATGCACTGGTCCAGCTCCCAGCTCTCATAGATTTCCATGTGTAACCACAGACAAGTCACTTAAACTCTCTGTGCTTCAGTTCCCCATCTCTCAAATGCAGCTAACAGCACTTCCTTTCTCTCATCCTTTGTCAGTATCATCTATGTAGACTGTAAGCTCTTTGAGGCAAAGATTCTCTTACAAGGGGCACGTACAGCACCTAACACAATAGGGCCTTTATGCGCTATGATTATACTAATAAACACAACAGGTGGTCATGGAAACCTGGCTGATCACGTATCTCTTCCCTTTAAAATAGGTAGCGCTCAAAGGAGCAATGTTTATTTATTTGACTAAGCCTTTTTAAAGCGGTTTTTTAATTATATTCTTAATAAAGGCACGCTGGGTCTTTTAAGAGGCAGCATTTTATTCTTGAATAGTGTACCCTGGATACTGCACATGTGGGAGCTTTTACCTGTATTTACAGTTAAGCTTTGTTCTGACCCTTTTCTCTAGCAGGAGCCAAGTGCCAGCGCGTCTGACATACAAAGGAAAAGTTTCTCATTGTTTCTCAAGCAGAAACAAAGAGTCTTGGATTGTGGGGGAAAGAATAAAATAATTTAAAGGAAATAGTCCAAAATAAAAGGAAAGAGACCAGTTGCTCTGAGAGGGCTGATAAAAAAGCCCAGAACAATGGAAGAAATAGCCAGAGAGATTAACAAGGGGGAGGAGGGGAGAGACAATACAGCAGCAGGAGGTAATGATGGAAGGTACAAGAGGGAGGCAGAATGGGGGAGGGGAGTTTCCTACCTAAACCAGGGTGGTTTTTGGCTTGCTCAACCACTTCCCTTTACAAGAATCCAACCCGCTTCTCTCTTCTCACTTTGAGCACCTGCTAATCGCAAAATAAAGGAACCACACCAATGCCTCAAGCCAAACTGAAAACAGCCGGGGTCCAGTCCTGCAGCCCTTACGTGACTAACCCCATGCACGCAATAAGTTACAGGATCAGGTCCTGTATTGCTGACATATTCCTAAATGTGAGAGGGGTGTTATAGGAAAGAGTCCCAGTCATTTAACGCTGTAACCATGGGCTTTGTCAGATGGGTGGGCTGGGGAATGGGGCAGTCAGGCTCCCTCCTGTCCCCCTCACTTTTCTCTTGTGCTTCCATACTGAAAGTAGGAGAAGATGTCCTGTGACTGGTTTCCCCCCTTCTTGGGCAGGGGAAGTCCTTCTTTTCCTCTTCCATTGTGTTCTGTGGACGTGAATAAGGAAGGATTAGTTGGAGAGGGTGAGTTCTCTTGCCTGGTCTCCGAATTTCCCAGCTTCACACCCACTGACTGGTTCAATCAGGGGGAGTAAATGTTAAAGGGGAAGTCTTTCCAAGGTCCACTCTCTACAGCTGAGATTCCCTGAGGGGGAGGAAGAGTGGTCCATGGCTAAAGCCCAGGCCTGGGAGGCAGGAAATGTGGGTTCTGATCACGCTGAGCCTTAGACTTCCTGTGCCTGAGACTTCACCTCTCTGTTAGATTCCCCACCTGCAAAATGGTGATAATAGTTACCTACCCCTCAGGGTTGGGGGTGAGGCTGTTCTTTGAGACTGCAGGGTAGAAGGTGCTATGGGAATACAAAGCATGCCTACATTCAAGCTACTAGAGGTAGCAGGGGCATATAGGCTCTACCCACCCATCAGAGACTTTCATCATCATTGGTACCATCTGATTGGCTGTTTTGTCTCATTATGAGACTGACTGTTTGGGGGGATGTCGGGGTGGATGGAGAAATCTGGGGCATGTGGAGAGATTACAAGAGGCAGGGGAAAGGGGTACTATAAAAAATAATAATAGTATGTACCTAACGCCACCTCAAACATTTTCTTCGCACGTTGTCTGTCTGCTTCGTAAAATCTATCTTCTCTACGTATCAAGAACTTCTGGTATGAGGTAGGTCAAAGGACCAATTTGATATTGGAGCCTTCCCCCTTAAGGTTCATTCTGAATATATTCCTGATACCTGGAGGCTACCTGGTAACAAGACAGTGTTGTTTCAATGTGCAGCTTTTGTCACTAAAAAATTAATCCTACCCAATGGAAAAGTTGATCCCCACCAACGATTGATATGCAGCTTGGTGATGTGGCTGACCTCACAGCTAACAAACAACTGGCATTCCGCAGAAGGGGGATGCCTGAAAAATTCAAATCAATTTGGGCTGACTTTTCAGAGGTATATGACTAATACAGACCCCCTGGAGATAGATATATCGCTTCCCCTCCTGTCCCTTTATCATAATCCTCTTTACTTATTTGGTGTGTTAGGATGAATCATGTACTTTGGTATATTAGTAGTATTTCAAAAATTAAGGTAGATTATCATTTATTATCTATTTAAATTGTAAGCAATTGGGGTTAGGGACAGCATCTTCAGTATGTTCTGTGAGCTGATGCCTCAGCTCAATAATGACATATATACATAATGTTTTGAATTAGTGTCAGTATGATCTTTAGTGGCTGCTGTAGTTTGGCTCTGAGCTGATGTTTTCGTGTATCGGTTGTGCCTACCTTTCAGGTATTGCCGGTGTCCATTTGGTCATCTTACAAAACATATATACAATGAAATAAAATGTCACACCAGATGCCCTAAGTGGTATTTATTATTTGTATTGGGGGGTAGTGTCTAGAGGTCCCAATTAGGTGCTAGTCAGTGGTTCTCAACCTGCGGCCCAATCAGCCCCCAGCTGCGGCCCATGCGACATCCTCGGGACCGTACAAGTAGCATTGGATGCGGCCCACATAACACATTGTGGGCCTAAATAGGTTGAGAACCACCGTGCTAGATACTCTCCACACCCATACTCTCTCAGAGGGTATGATCTAAGTACATAATGATTCTTACAGCGTCCACAAGCGTACTAAGTAATTTGCAGAGCGTAAAATAGGTCCCCTGCATTGAAGAGTTTATAATCTAGAATTTAGATGGGATATAAGATATAAGTAAGAGTAATAAGCAAAAGAGGGGTGAGGTTAATGTATTTCAGGACATATTCCCACATGTTGTACCCACCCCCACACCATCTCCTCCCACTTTAAAACCAATTACCATTGCAAACCTATCCTAAAACAACAAGGAGTCTGGTGGCACCTTAAAGACTAACAGATTTATTTGGGCATAAGCTTTCGTGAGTAAAAACCTCACTTCTTCAGATGCATCCGAAGAAGTGAGGTTTTTACTCACGAAAG